TGGTCTCAATTCACCAATCAAAAGAAATAGACTGGCAGAATGGGTCAAGAAGCAAGATCCAACAATATGCTGCATACAAGAAACACACTTAATTCAAAAGAAACTTATAGACTGAAAGTTAAAGGGTGGAAAACAATACTCCATGGGACAGGAATTTGAAAAAAAGCAGGAGTAGCTATGCTCTTGGCAGATCAAGTGGATTTCATACCAACACTGGTTAAGAGAGACAAAGAAGGACATTACATCCTTGTAAAGGGAAAAGTCCAAGAGGAAGAGATTACAATCATAAATATATACACACCAAACACTAGTGCACCCAACTATATAAAACAAATACTAACAGACATGGAAAAATCAAATAAGCAGTAATACAATAGTAGAGGGGGACCTCAATACCCCACTATCACAAATAGATAGATCCACTAGACCGAAAAATAACAAAATACTACAACTCATATCAAACTCTTGAACAAATGAACTTAACAGATGTTTACAGAGTGTTCCACCCCACAAAATCAGAATACACATTCTTTTCATCTGCACACGTGTCGTTCTCCAAAATAGACCACATACTGGCTCACAGAACATGTTTAAGTAAGTACAAAGGAACTGAAGTTATCCCCTGTATATTATCAGACCATAGTGCAATGAAATTGGACATCAATAGCAAAAGAAACCACAAGAATTTCATAAATACATGGAAACTGAACAACACATTTATGAATAACCAATGGGTCACAGAGGAAAGTAAAGAAGAAATCAGACAGTTTCTACAATTAAATGAAAACACCAATACAACATATTGGAATCTATGGGACACAATGAAAGAAGTTTTACAAGGGAAATTCACAGCAGTGAATACTCATATTAGGAAAACAGAGCGAGCTCAATGAACCTCAGGCTTCTAGAAAAACAAGAGCAGGACAAACCCAAAGCTCATACAAGGGAGAAAATTATAAAGATCAAGGCAGAAATCAATGCAATGGAGACTAAGAACAATACAAAAAAATCAATGAAGCAAAGAGTTGGTTCTCCGAAAGAATCAATAAAATTGACAAACCTTTAGCCAACCTTATCAAAAAAAAGGAAAGAAAGGGCCCAAATCTATGCAGTTAAGAATGAAAAGGGTGAAATTACAACAGACCCAGCAGAAATCCAGAGGATCATCAATACCTACTTTGAGAACCTATGTGCCAATAAGACAGAAAACACAGAAGAAACTGACAAATTCCTAGATACATATGAATTACCAAAGTTGAACAAAGAAGACCTAAAAATTCTGAACAACCCAATATCAATCAACAAAATTGAAAATGTGATTAAAAACTTACCACCTAAGAAAACCCCTGGTCCTAATGACTTCACTGCTGAATTCTACAAGACATTTAGAGAGGAACTATTGTCACTACTATTTAAACTCTTCAATGAAATAGAAAGGGAGGCAATACTCCCAAATTCATTCCTGGAAGCAAGAATCACCTTGATCCCAAAAGCAGAGAAAGACTCAACTGAAAAAGAGAACTATAGGCCAATTTCACTAAAGAACATAGATGCAAAAATCCTTAATAAGATACTGGCAAATAGAATGCAGATCATCAAGAAGATTATACACCCTGACCAAATGAGATTCATCCTAGGGATGCAGGGATGGTTCAACATATGCAAATCAATAAATGTAATACATTAATTGATATGTAATACACTATATTGATAGCAGCCGCTATCAAGAAATCAACCAATAACATGCTGGTGGGGCTGTGGAGGAAAAGGAACCCTTCTCCACGGTTGGTGGGAGTGTAGACTGGTGCAACCACTGTGGGAATCAGTATGGAGATATCTCAAAGAACTAGGAATAGAGGTCCCATTTGACCCAGCTATTCCCCTGCTGGGTATCTTCCCCAAAGAATTAAAAGAATCATACCAC